TTAAGTTAGTTAGTTTAGTACGTAAAGTAACGATGTCATAGTGTCATATAACTTAGTCTCTATAGTATAGTCTTTTAGTTAGTAAGTACACTTACCTACTTAATACTATCGCCCTACTATATATATATATATATATATATAGATAGATATATATATATATATATATAGACACGAGGTTATGGTGAGTCAACCAACACACACCTATTATTGTAAGCCACATTGTGCACCAACGTCATCTCTAAGGTGGACGTCAAAAAATGGTGCCTCCGCTAGAAGTTAAAATGGATGGTAGAAAAAAATGTTTAGAAAACACCATTTTTTTTTTCCAAACACAAAATTTCAGATTCATGATCATCCTCATGAGCAAAAAAAAATTTCCCAAGAGATTACTATCATCTAGAACATGACCATAGTGAAATCCCCAATCAGATATTTCATCATTGTCCAATCATCAGATGGACGTTCATAAAGAGGTTCAAAACAGCATGACCCATGTGGTTCCTATTTTTTTCTCCTTTTTTTTTTTTGACAAAATTACAAGTGGTTCCTATTTTGTTCCACCAGCATCCATCCATTCATCTACTAATCAATGGTGTACACCATGCAATTTTTCATAAGGAGAGATGAAATGTTCACCCGAAGGTTTTAAAAATTGGCAAACCAAAATGAAACCGACAGGTTCTGATCGGGAATCGACGAGAACAGTGGGGTTCTGCTTATAGATCTGGAACCAAAGTCGATTATGTTAGAGAACTAGTTTCACTTTATTTTTAAGGGAAAAGTTTATATAGAGCTGAGGATCTAAACAAGCAAATTCGAGGCTATCTCGAATATTTCACTAGAAAGATAGCCAAATATCTTCAAATTGACCATCTCGACATCAAGATGCATGGACATGAGAAAAAAATAGATTTCACCTTTTGAAAATAGTGTATTTTGTAACATATTTTTGGACCGTCAATTTTCAAAATTTTTAAGTTTCTATAAATATCTCGATCTACACTATTTTTTTAAGCTTTAAAATTTATAAATAAAGATGAAAATATATTTTAAGGCTATCAAAAAGATTTCCAATATTGAAACCACATTTCTCGATACTATTTGAAGGTAGGCTCTATTTTTTATTGTTTAGAGCCTAGGCTCTATACAAACCGCAACCTATGTTTAATATTCTTCTAAATTTTTTTGCTCCTTAATTTTTTAGTTTTTTTTATTTTCCAGTTCACCAGGCCGGATCATCAATGTAGATTGTTGATCTACCAATTCGGGCCAATTTTTCATGGAGGGGGCCGGGTCATCGAATCCTATTTTTAAACCTTAGTTCATCAAATTTGCGTTGGGTTAGTGTTGAAAAAGGATAAAAAAAAATAGATCCCCCCACGAGATCGCATTAGTCTCTCTTTCGATTTGACGTGGTCGAATCTTTCAACGGCTATATGTTCTCCCGGTCCTTTAAAGAATACAGTCATTAATTCCCTCTGAACATAATGTAAACCGACAAGAACTCACCTAATTTCCATTGGCAATAAATTGGAGGCCACGTCAGCATTGTACAGGCCGGCCTATAAAACTCAACACTCCCTCTTTCTTTGTCGGTGAATTTGTCAGAAAATAAAAAGGTAGAGGAATCATTGATTGGTCACTTAATTTAGCTGAGTTGTGTTCTTGGAGTGGGGAGGATCCATCTCTTATCTTATCCAGTTTAGCATTTCCCCAAAAGAAGAGGCTGGTAATTTCTTCTCCATACCTCATTATTGTTCTTCATCTTCATTTTTAGTTGAAATGAGTTTTTTTTTTTGTTATTTCAAATTATATTTCTCAGTGATTGTCCTCTGAATCTAATGGGTATTTCTCTCGGTTAAAGAACGTTCACTGGTTTCAGTGGGGAGGGACAAAAAAAAATTTCTTGAAACCAAAATCTTTTCTCAGAATTTATTGTGGTTCAATAGGAAAACGAGTTCCTATATATCGTTTTAGCTTGTTCTGATTTTTAAGCTTGTGGTTTTAGAAGCAATGCCACAACGCCCTCTCATACCCTTTTAGGACCCGTTATTTAATGGCAGTAGCTTCATATGGCCAATAATGTGAATGATCGAGGTTAAAAAATTAAAGAAAAGTATATAATAAAATTATTTATCTTTAATACAAGATGATCATAATTAATTTTGACTGAATATGAAATTAGATAGATGCATTTAGCCCATTGACCAAAATCAAACTTCAAAAGAAATTCTTTCAAACTTTACGACACACTCGTGATATCATATTAAACATTGGATAGTTGTAAGTAATTGTAAATCAATCGTAAATTGTCGCATTATATGCAATCCCAAAAATTAAAAGTTATTTTCTTAATACTTGATAAAATGGGACCTTGATCAGGCGAATTATTAGAGGATTCAATGCTTTTTATTATTAGTCAGTGTCTTTTATATCTTGCTATAACCTTAGCTGGAAAGTTTCTGGATCAGGTAATCATAGTTTTAGCTCCGACATGTCCCTCCGATTTTCTTTTTCGCCTAAAATTCGAGCTATTTATGTGACTATAAAATATTCAAGGCTTCTTTTTTTTTTTTTGGGCCAACTCCCTTAGTTTTTTAAAAAAAAAAAAAAAAAAAGGAAAAAAGGGAAAAAAAGAAGAAGAAAAAACCCTTTGTCCAACAAAATAAACCTCGGCTCGGAGTTTGAGGAGCCTTTTATTGTCATATTCACCAACAGTAACCAATTATTTTGGTCCTTCGTATCCACAATGTTTGTATTTTGGTGCTTTCGTATACCACAATGTTTCACGGGTTTGTGTTTGTCACGATGAGACTTTTCTTTTTTTTATTTGGTTATTTTCTTAATGAGATATTGAAAGAAATTTATCAACTAACACATCGTCATTCTATTTATGAATTATGTTAAGTCATTTTGTTCTATCAGGGCTATATCATCTATATCGTCTGCTAGATATTAGTCATCAAATTTTTTTATTATTTTTATCTATATTTTTTTTAATCTTTCTCTTATCGTTTAAAAATATTCTATTTAAACCAAATTACACTTCCTAACCCGTGATGTGTTAAATCGATACTTCACTTGACCAAACTATTTAAGTCTATTTTTTTTTATCTTATCGTCTATTAGAGCTATCCTGAAATTCTTTCAGATGAATTTATTTAGAGTTATATTATTTATTGTATTGTCATTCATCCATCTCGTCGTTTGTATTTTTTGACCTCCAACATTCTTTTTGAACTTCTCTCTCAGATTTATTTGTATATGCAACTATCACATAAGACTTTAGCAGCACAATTTCACTTCATTTACTCTATTTTAATTTACTCTATTTTAATTTTATGTATGGTATCTTTTTCAATCTTTTTAGCCGAGAGTCAAACTATTTTTCTGGCAAAGTTAATAACTTTAGGCAATGATCCAATGCTATCACGCTATGCTCATTTAAATCTAAATGATTCCTTAAATGACACCTCACTATGATGAAGAATCGCCAAGCATTATTGGGTGGTGAATTATTTAATAGGTAACCTGTTTTATAAAATTATTATTATTATGACATAATTATTACTATATAATGGGTTGGAACGGTCTGGCATTGCCCGTGAGTGATGTGTTGTTGAGCTTAAAAGGAAGCAGGTCACGTTTTTGTCCGTATGTTATTTGGCGGGAGCTTTTGGGTTTGGGTTCCCTTGGGACATTCTTGATTATTTTCTTCTTATGGCACTCCTGTTCGACACGTGTCTTGTCCTTCGATTTGCATTCAATCTTCTTGAGCACGAGGGCCGCGAGATTAGAGGTCGCAACGGTACCCCGATTCAAACTCGAAAGGTATTTGAGTTCAAAGTTTGAACTTATATCCGGATTCATCCGGTCTCGAGTAGATTCATTATCACTATATAATTATGAGTTTTTTTGTATTTTTGGGTATTTTTTATCACCATATACTCTATAATTATTAAATTTTTTTTTTTTTTTACAAATAATATAGTAAATATTGTTAATATTATCACAATGTAAACACCGAGCGATTGTCCAAAGACACTATAAGTATAGGTATGGTTTGGTTGAACCTAGACCCATACCCATACCTAAATAATTTTCGAGTCCATAATTTGGATAATATTGGAATTCACAATTTAGACTTTACTCGAAGCCCCCGTCAGATCTGCCTGTAAGGTCCCACGTCTAATCGGGTCCATTGCCTGGCAGGAGATCCTCCATGTGGGAGCTGCAAGCAAATTTGTCTTTTCGTTGGTGGCCTTGCGGCACGGGCGTCCGATCGTGATGGTATTCCTTCTAAGAAAGGGGGCAAAATTGTCTTTGTCAAAAATAAAGGGGAAATATCGTCTTTGGGGAAAAGAAATGAAAGTTGCCCTAGTCTTTGGCAGGGGAGGATAATGGGTAATGGTGACATTTGCCCGGCCCAAGTCTAAAAAACTTGGATCATGAAGTGTGCCCTAAGGGCTAGGTTAGGGCAACCACGGCCTCAGAATAGCTGGATCGAGCTAGGCGAAGGCCAAGGTTAGGCCAAGACCAGCTCTTTTTCTTTGGTTTTCTTGTTTGTTTTATATGAATAATTGAAGGGGTGAGGTTTTGTATAAGGAGTTAATCTTATACTATTGAAGTAAGGCGCACCTCAAAACTATGCTGAAATCGAGTTTGAGTGTTGCAAAGCCTTGCAACAATATAAAAATCTATTGTAGCCCTTATTATGAAATTTAAAGTTTCAAAAATAGTAACACATGAAAATCTAAAAAATAGATGGTGTAGATAATATATTAAAAAATAAAGTATTTCTAGGACGAAAAATTCACTTTATTCATGTCTATTAATCTCGAGGTCGAGATGATTGATTTGAGGGTTTTCAACATAGGAACAACCTTCTTTAGTGGGGTTTTTAGGTACAGCTTACTTATATAGTATAAGGTTGACACCTTATCTAAATTTTAACCTTTCAAAGGCTTAGACCTCACAACAAACTCCACAGTTCATATTCAACCTTAAGCTATAATTATTAATTCAAGTACCTCCTTTTTTAATCTCAATACAAATTTTGCTCTTGTGGTTTTGAGCTAGGCTGAGTGGGTTAGATACCCAAATTTGGGGTATCCTAGAAATTCCTTCCAGCGGTTTTTTCTGAGGGAGCAAATGATCATTTTGCTCCATTGGGAGCACATGATCTTTGGAGAGCGGTGCTTCATAAACAAATCGTCGACTCTCTTTATGTCTCTCTGTTATAAATGTCAAAAGCCGATCGGTCCCGTCTTCAAATTAGTGAAAGTAAATGTTCATATCTCTCTCTCTTCTCAAATTTTATAAAATGTCAAAAGTCGATAGCTCCCGTCTTCAAAGTAGTAAATGTCTTCATCTCTCTCTGTCTGTCTCGCAAATATAGAATTATACTTTTTAGGAAATACACTATATTTATGCACTTTTGTTTTTATTTAAAATTTTAGAAACCACATAAGAATTACTAGATGATTCTATTTAAAAGAATAAAATTTGGATTTTGAGTTTTGTGATAATTAGATCTAGTTTTTCGAAAATTAGATAGCGCGATCATGGCTTCCCTTTTTTCTTGTACATAGACGGCTTACTTTTTAGATCTTTGTTTTGTTTACTACTATTAGTGTAGATATTAGTTCCCCAAAATTTGAGACATACAAATAATATCTCTAGGATGTATTTTGCTCAATGAGGTAAATAAATAGTAAAGTAGAAAAGTTTGGTTCGCGTGAAATTTTTTTCTAAAAAATATTTTCACATTGAAAAAATTATTTCATTTGGTTAAATGTGGAAATATTTTCATACCAATTGGTTCTAGTGCATCTTTTCACCTTAATTGACAACTAATTGATATTAAAATATTCTCACACTTAACACACAAGAAATTTTTTTGAAGTAAAAATATTTTTCGTAAAATATTTTTACATGAACCAAAAGTGCAATAAATAAAGGAAAATGTTTACATAAGGTTGTAACTTTAAAATGAAGAATTATAAATGCATCTAAAAATCCATTAAAGAATGTTTTTTTAAGGGAAAATTTTGTATAGAACCCTAATTCCTCATATTATTTCATGGTAGATCATCTTTCCGTTTTTTCTTTCAAGCGGCACAAGAAAACTCTTAAAGATTTCACCATACTCTCATCTCTTATCTCCATCTTTTATTAACTTTTGATCATAAAAAATAACCCCAACAAATTTTTTTATACCATTTCAACCTAAAAACTTTTTTAATGGGTGAAAAGGGAAAAAGAAGGTTAAAAAAGTTTTTGAGATGAAATGGTATAAGAAGATTTGTTGGGGCTAATTTTTATAGTAAAAAAGTCAATAGAAGAAGGAGATAACATATGAGGGGTTAGGTGAAATATTTAGAGATTTCCTTATGCAGACCGAAACAAAAACGGAAAGAGGGTCTATCAAAAAATAATATGAGAAATTAGGGTTCTATACGAAAATTTTATTTTTCTTATTATTGAAAAATCCTCTAATAGATTATTTCGACATCGAGATGTATGAATATGGAAAAAAGTAATGATACTATGAGACCATCTCACACTCATATGTAGCACTTCAAAAGATCACCATTAAATTTGACATACATCTCTAGAAAATTTATCATATGGGTGTGGGATTTGACTTTTTTACATATCTATTTCAAATTTAATATTGATCATTTGGAGTCCTATACATAGGTGTGGGATGATCTCATAAGATCATTACTCATATGAAAAAAAATAAAAAGATTGAGTCCCAAAAATAGTGCATCTCGCAACACATTATCTAGACCGTCTAGTTTCAAAATTTCGTTTGTAGATCTACTTTATTTTGATCACTTTCTAATTTAAAATTTTATAATTAAATATAAAAATAGATTTTTAGATAATCATGCTAACTTTTTTACATCAAAATGGTATATTATAGTAACATTTGGAGGTGTGCCGGGATTGTTTAACGTACATCCATAAATAAACACTCCTCTCTCTCTTCAGTTCCAATCGTTGACCCCGATCACCCTTCAACATCTTTAAAAGTGCAAGTGGCCGCATGATATGATCGCATCTCTCTCTTCAGGACCAATCGTTGACCCGTATCACCCCTCAACATTTTTAAAAGTGCAAGGGCCCGCCCTCAATAATCATATCATGTAAGGGAAAGGGGGACGCTATAAACTGTCCAAAACCCAAAAACCACCACCCACTGTGGGCTTCAATGGATCTTGCCCTCTATGCCTACACCCTTCTCTCCATCTGCATCTTCATCATCATCTCGGAGCAAGCCACTTACCTGCGAAAGAAGGGCTCCGCCCCCGGCCCCTACCTGGTGGTTCCGTTCCTCGGCAATGCCCTCTCCATGGTCCGCAACCCCACCGCCTATTGGCATGACCAAGCCTCCGCCGCTCTCTCCTCCCCTTTGGGCCTTTCGGCGAACCTCCTCTTCGGTCGCTTCGTCGTCTTTCTCAGAGACTCTGGCCTCTCTCAGAAGGTCTTTGCCAATGTCCGTTCGGGCGTCTTCCACCTCATTGGCCACCCCTTTGGCAAGAAGCTCTTCGGCGAGCACAATCTCATCTACATGCTGGACCATGCCCACAAGGACCTTCGCCGCCGCCTCGCTCCTAATTTTACCCCCAGAGCTCTGGCTACCTACCTTCCATTGCAGTCTCGAGTCATTGTCTCTCATCTCGTGGCTTGGGGGCATCTCGCCAATGCCGGAAATGCCCCTTTGCCGATCCCCCTCCGCCTCTTGTCTCGTGACCTCAGCCTCGAGACCTCCCAGACTGTGTTTGTCGGCCCGTATCTTCCCCAGAACGATCGATTGGCCTTCAAGAATGACTACAATCTGTTCAATGTGGGCCTCATGAAGCTCCCAATTGACCTTCCCGGGTTCGCTTTTTGGAGAGCGAGGCTGGCGGTAGGGCGTCTGGTGGACACCCTGTCCGGGTGCGCCGCCAAGAGCAAGGAGCGGATGAGGGCTGGGGACGAGCCATCATGCCTCATGGACTTCTGGATGGCGGAGACTGTGAAGGAGATTGCAGAAGCTGAGAAGGCTGGGATGCCGGCCCCACCGGACTCTAGCGACAGAGAGGTGGCGGGTCATGTGTTCGACTTCTTATTTGCCTCCCAAGACGCCTCGACCTCGTCATTGTTGTGGGCTGTGACTCTGCTCGATTCTCACCCGGATGTGCTAGCCCGGGTACGTGAGGAGCAGGCCAAGGTGCGCCCGACAGGGTCCCTCGACATCACCCTCGATCAGCTCAGAGAGATGAAATACACTGAGATGGTGGCCAAAGAAGTCGTGAGGATCCGCCCCCCTGCCACCCTTGTCCCTCATGTCGCCGCCTGTGATTTCCCCATCACCGAAGGCTACACGATCCCAAAGGGTACAATTGTTTTCCCCTCAGTTTACGAGTCATCCTTCCAGGGGTTCACAGAGCCAGAGAAGTTCGACCCCGACAGGTTCTCAGGGGAGCGGCAGGAGGACCAAGTTTTCAAGCAGAATTGGCTACCCTTCGGAGCCGGGCCGCACCATTGCATCGGACAGAGGTACGCGCTCAACCATTTGATGCTGTTCATAGCTGTTTTTTTTACTGTTTTCGAGTTTCGGAGGCACAAAACGCCGGGGTGTGATGAGCTCGCGTATGTTCCCACCATTGCTCCCAAGGACGACTGCCTGGTTTATCTCTCCTTTAGGAAGGATTTCATCCTTCCTAAATACACAGCTTAAACGGAGAAGCCATTAAAGCATTTCCAACTTTGATTCATTCCTTCTGTTATTCTGTCTTGTGCTATGTGTGGTTGATCTCCTACTTCTTTGTCGGATTGGTGAAACAACTCTGTATAGATTGATAGGATTCTTTGGCTGGAAATTGAAAAAAAAACAAAAAAAGTGAGAGGGGAGACACTGCAAATAACATTTGGTGGTCCATGAGGTAGCATTTGAGTGTTGGTGTCTTTTTAGTTGTTCTTCGCTTATTCCCTTCCTTTTCATATCAGGTGCATCAAGGTTTCATTCAATCCACATAAAGCTCTGATTCATTCAAACCAAAGAAGTGATAAAAGTTGAATTCGAT